AGTTAAAATAATTTTTTTTTGTTGTAATATAAAATAAATTGGTTAGTTATATAATTTTATTTTTAATTTTTGTAATAATATTTAGAGATCAATGCTCTGGAAATGCTCCATTTGAGAGTATTGAGGGAGGAGTATTTTGACAATATTTGCAGTTACTAAATGCCCTACTTAATGCTCTATCAACCAATCAAGTTTTAATGATAAAATGCATAATGCTCTTTAAAATGCTCTGCCAATCAAGCCCTTGGAAGATTCTGAGGGCCTTCATGTAAGCAAAAATAATAGGAAAAATAATCAGCCAATAGAATTACAGATTATTGACATGTCATCCTCTAATTACTCTAAGAAAATCAATTTTAGGCCACTAAACTTAATATGAAAAACAATTGGGCCATAACCAACTAATTTCAAACCAATTGCAAAAGGCCCAAACAATCTACAACCCTAAACCCTACGAGTCTTCTTCCTCTCCTATATTCACTCCAAACGGTTGAGATCTCTCCTCACAGATGCGTTTCTCCACTTCCAGTTAAGGAGCACATTCACATCTCACAAATCAAATAATTATACCGCCGTTACAAACTCTATCTAATCAACTGTCGCAATATTCAATGGCATAAATGGCCACTAACCTTGCATTCAGTCCACCTATCCTCTATAAAAGCTCATTCTCCATCTCCACTGCTCCCATGCTACTTCACATCCCTCAAAATCGAATAACCAGCACCAAAAGTGGCACCCCAGCTCCTTCAATATTTGACAGAAATGTTGCCACAAAGATCTTCAATGACTTGAAAGGAGACTTTTGCAAAGACGATGTGTTGGTCAGGTTGATTGGGGGCTCACCTTCACCGACTACATTGATGAAAGAGAGACCCTACTAATTTATAGACGACATTATTGTTGAAGATTTTTATTAACGGAAGCATAGATGCAGCTTGCAATATAAAGGGTTTGTTATTAATGATAGACCAAAGACGTTAGAGGTCTGTATAGCTAAAACATAACTTACTTTTTTTTTGTTAATCCATTCAACCATTCTTTATGCACATCTTAATTTCTCTTAAGTCGCTAAATAACAACATGTTATGTTTCTTCTTCATCGACATGAATTTCAGTCAATGTTTTAAGCTTTATATACAAGTAATCTTTTTGTATTTGTATCATATCTACAAGCTATTCCAATACCTCATCTTGTGTTGCTTACTAGATACTTATTAGAAAATAGAGACCAAATATTGTTTCTGGTAAAACAGTTGAAATTATTACGTCTTTTGCTCACTTTGAATAAATTAAGTCATCTACTTGCAATAAAACCAGATGGATTTAACTAACTATTTCATTGTGGGCTTTCTACCTATTGATTCGACAACTAAGGTAGACCGCATCTACTATAAAAAAGAGTTTCGAGGAGCTATGGTTTGAATCATACGGGAGAAAATATCTAAAACCATTAATCAAGATAGAGGATAACTTCACTTGCATTCATAAAGCTCTTCGGAAGACAAACATGAGTGTTTCCTGTATATCTTCTAATGTTTTCCATATTGTTCATGCTTACTATTTAAAATCCTCAAAAT